GGGACCCTGGGATGACATCAGGTGGCTATCCACCATCCCCAGCTACTGATGCAGTTGGGCTGCTGGGAGTTGCCCTGTCACCTTTTCTCCCACTTTCCCTGGATACAAGAAGAAAACAGGAGATTGGAAACAGTTGTCTCCTCCACTGTCTCCCATTCTACGGTCCTCCCCACCCTAATTGGTAGTCCACATGTGCACGTATCCTTCCTAACCATGTAAACATCACCAAAAATAAAATAAATTCATTCTGGAAAAAAAAAAGACTAGCCTCTCCAAACTCACACAGATGTTCAAACCCTACAGTCCTATGCTAACAGGTAATAGATCAATGTGTAGTTGATAGGTTAGGGCAAAGGATAGATCCTACTAGTACCTGAAGGCAGGGTCTTAGGAATGTGATTGGATTGGGTTAAGTTGGGAGGGCAGAGTCCCATACCTGAATCATGATGGTGAGTTCCCTGTTGCTCTCTGCTTCCTGCCAGGGTTTCACCCCTCCACTATGCTCCAGCTCCACTGCATGCCTGAACTTATGAGGTGACTCAATCTTGAATCTTCTTCCTTCCTAAGAACCTAAGAAACCATTGAGAACCTAAAAACGTAAGAAGCACTTCCTAGGGATCTTAATAAAAGTAATTTTTAAAAAACCTGACTATACACTGGCTTAAATTACATTTATATTTTAAATTGGTCTTGGAAAATACTGGAGGGTGGAGGGCAGGAGAGATGATGACATGGCAAGCCAGAAAACACACTCTTCATCCACCCTCCTTGTGGTCTCCCCTCCGGAAGCCATCAGGGAGCCCTACTCTGCACACCTACCCCAACCCAATCATTCCCCCAGAGCCTCCCGACCAACCTTTTCCCAGGTAAATTTCAAGTGTAAACACTGATGTTTGCCCTCCATTCTGCCCCTGGCCAAGTGGGAACAAAGAAACTACTTGTTTCTCCTCTATACTGGGAGTTCAACAAGCAAATGAAAGATAAGCATCTGATGACCAGACATGTAAGATTTATTATCAATACAAGGAAATGCACGAGATTCTAGACATTAACACAGTGACTAGGTGGGATGTCTGATTATTTCCGTGCATAGTCATGGATGTAGGAAGAAAAGCATTTGTTGACAAGGAGGGTACACTACTCAAAGGAGTCTAGTCCTTCACCTAAGTTAAAATTGTATTTCCCTACTTCCTCGAGTTAGGAACAGCCCTGTTTACTGTGGTCAATGACATGTGTACCACGACATACATAATTTCTGGAAGTTTTCCTGAGTCAGCACACATGTATCTTTTTGTGACACGAGTCCCTTTGCCATGATGATGAATAACACTCAGAATGAGGCCTTCTCTGAGGCCCAGAAAGATAGTAACACGGGGTGAAGCTTCCAGGCGACTCAGGGTGAACATAAATTTTTCATTTTTAACTCCCAAAGTTCTGGGGTAATCCCAGTATAACAACCTAACCTTACAGCTACACACAACCTTAATAGCAGGTGGGAAAAGAATGAATTAAGCATCAAATACATATCCTCCATCTAAAATCAGAATATCTCTAAGAATTTACAGGAAATTGACCCAATTCTGCAGTAGGAAGACCATAAAAGGGAAGATGACTCTTTAAAATATAACTGACTGTTTACAATATATGTCAATATCACAAAGGAGGGAGAAGCCCCAGACAAGTGCCTGCCACAGCATGTTTGCCAACGCAACACACACGTCTCTCCAGCTGTTACAGACTCTCACTCTTGGGGCCTGGAATGTCCTCAGGTCTTGGATGTGCTGCTCCTAACAACACTGACCACAGTTAACATGTAAGTGATGACTTTTTTGCACCAAGTACACATGGACAGGCCATTTAAATGATGGAGCCCACCCGTCACACGTCCCCAAGCACAAACGCCAGAAAAGGGTGACAAGCATAGTAAGCTTGAGTCAGCAAGGCCAGAGTACGAAAAGGGCTAAGGCTTGCAAGGGAAATGCCAAAGACAACAAAAATGCTTTGTGTTCAGCCTCCAAACATTAAGAAGTTCCCCGGATGACTTCAAGCAGGAAGTGTTTCCAGAGGGGGAAAAAAATGCTAACAGGTCTTCCTCCGAGTGAGGAGACAGTGAGATCTGTCTTTATGTCTTGCGTAGTTAGGGAAGACAGATCTAGCTAAGCCAACCCCATTCGGGGGCTCCGGGTCTGAATATAGAAATACACAGTGCCCACTTTCAAATGTCCCCAAGACTGCTGCGCTGCAGTCACCCGCCCTCAGCTTGCCAACAGGCTTCACTGGTCTGCATTCGGACACACTTACATTTTAGAGCACTCAGTGACAAGTTTTCCTGGTTTAGTGTCTCCTGTCTAGGCCTAATTTCCTATGTAGTTAAATGTGACATTAATGGCTTTCCCTCTCAGAAAAAAAGGAAATTGACAACCACAACCATTAAACAAATAAACTATATCAAAACTTGCAGGCACAATTCTCTCGGGGAGGAGGGTCCATATTTGATATTTCACAACAAATGGGGCATAAAATGCTTAAACGTTCCTGCAAGGACATTCTGTCAAAAATGAGTGTACTTACAGCTTCATGTTGCTACCGGGGAGCCAAATCTGCACACTGAAGCAGCCTTGCATAAAATAATGAGATCTTCAGGGCTTATCATGTAAGAACCAGTGGATGCAATAAAAGAAGTCCACAGTTTTCTACTGAGTGTGGCCTTAAAGCATCTGGGAAAAGTCCTCTCTCTGCAGCCCAACACAGGGCTCTAAAAAAGGAAGGAAGGAGGCCACACAGACTTGTCCCAACAAGTGGAGGGAAGGTACCCCAACATGTGGAGGGAAGGTACCCCAACGAAGACCTCAGTGTCAACAGGACCCAGGGGTTGCTTACTCTCACCATGGACTACGGGAGAAAGCCCACACCATTTTACACCAGTGCCCTCCTGACCTCACCGATTGTGGAACGTGCACAGACAGACCATGCCAGACAACAGGTGGTGCCCCTGATTGGGACAAGTGTCCCAAATCACTTCACTGTGATTTCATAATTAGGTGCTTAAGCACATAACTGCAAATTACCTCACTTCAGTCATGGGCCCTCAGTCCCCCACTGCAGGAGAGCAGCTCTCTCTCCCCGGAGTTCATGCTGGACCGGGTCCGTGAACTTGTTACAGGTTGTACCCTAATGTACAAAGCACTACTCAGCCTGCTCAGCCAGACGCATCAGATGAAGGATCTCCATGTTTCCAGGCCAAGATCTGCCGCCTGGCAATCCTACCAAGCACTCAAATCACAGCTGCTTGTGATGCCCAAGCACACAGCTGCTTCAGAATCTAGGGCACAAGGGATTTAGCTAGCAGAGGGGGGAAAAAAAAGCGAAACAAAACAACAGAGGAACACCCTTTTCGGGCAAAGCACCAGACAGAAGTAACTGAGTGAGGAAGGGCGGCGTCTCCCCGTGCCAGTAAATCATGTCACATCCCACAGAAAACACGTATCTTATCCTCTTCAGCTCTCACTGCTGCGCTTATTCAGTTACCAAGTGGGGGGGGGGAGCCAAATGAGTTCTATACATTGGAAGATCTACTCATGCCTTGCTTATTACAGCAGTGACATCACACAGCATTGGTTTCTTTTTTTTTTTTTAACCTCTCTCAGTTCCTAGATCAGCGCCACCCTACGCAAGACTAACTTGAGCACTTGTGGAGTTTAAGGCGACAGACCATCACCATCAAAGACTCTATCTCTGCCATTGTCCCCCCAGACACACTCCCAGGAAGGACATCTCCAATGCTGAGCTTCAAAGAACCACTTTTCCCTCGCCCTGGTCCCCTTCGACACCTTCGTGATCCCGATACCAAGGGGGGCCCTTCTCCAGCCACCCCACCCCACGCCCGCGGCTTCATTCCACGCCCTCGGCCCCCAGGAAGGTCTCAAGCATTTCCCAGAGCTCTTGCAGCGAAAAAAAGGCAAAACACCGTCCCACTCTGCCCCCTCTCAGCGAAAACGGGGGGACCCTCGGTCTCCGAAGAAAGGGAGCAGGCGGATATGCTTGACACCCACCGTGCTGCAACCCTTGTTACGGGAAATTCCCACTCCAGACAGCCGACAGAAGGACCCACACTGTCACCCACCTGCCCGAGACCCGCGTGCAAGACATGAGGCCAGAGACTCGAGCTGTCCCTCGGCACACCGGGATGCACAGTTCCCGCCGCCACGCTTCTGAGGAGAACGCTGAAGGCGAGGAGAGGCCGTCGGCCGGGGTAAATGGCAACCGACTCTCCCACCTGCGCTGCGCCACCTCCTTCCCCGCCCGTGGCCACCACCCGCCCAGAAGCGTCGGCCCCTCCTGGGTAACCCAAAAAAATCTCCTCCTTCTCCTCGTGCTCCCTGCGTGAAGGCTCCTCCGGCCAATGGGCCGCGCGAGAGGCGGAGCGCGCGCCTCCCCAGGTGACAGCCGGCCGCCGAGTCCTCCCGCCCGCGCGAGCCGGCCTGGCAGTTGCCGGGCCAATCCACAGCGCGGCTGGGCAGAGAAGGGGAGGGAGAAACCGGGGACGGAGGGCGTCCAATCAGATCCCCGGGACCCTCGAGCGACGGGTCCCCCGGCCCGTGGCCTTCCAAGCGCGGCGCTCAGGGGGCGTGCCCGCCTGGGCCAATCGGCGCGAGCCCACGGTGCGGAGCGAGCGCCTCAAATGCTCGGGTTTCTCAGCTGATTGTCTCCAGCCGAGAGTTGTTTTTTGCAGCTACGGAGCCGAGCCGCAGCAGGAGGAGCCGAGACCCCCGGGGAGGGAGGCGGGGTGCGGAGGAGAGCGAGGCGGTGTCGGGGCAGAGGGGGCGAGCAACCGCGGCTGCTCCGCGCAGGGCTCCGACTCCTGTCAGGGCGCTTCTTGGGGTTGGAGACTCGGGGTGGGTGGGTGGGGGGTAACGGGGCAATCGTTCTCATCCTCGACGGCGGCTCCGAGTCCGGCCCCTTCCTCCCCCGCGCTCCCTCGCCCACCCTCCAGGCCCCTCATGAGGGTGACCGTCCCGGGTCCCGCGGCGCCCGCCGCCCCCGCGAACGCCCGCGAGCCCTCGACGCCCGGCGGCAGCGCAGCCGTCGAGGCCGCTTCGGGCGCCGCGGTGCCGGGCTCGGTGCAGTTGGCGCTGAGCGTCCTGCACGCCCTGCTCTACGCCGCGCTCTTTGCCTTTGCCTACCTGCAGCTGTGGCGCCTGCTGCTCTACCGCGAGCGGCGGCTGAGTTACCAGAGCCTCTGCCTCTTCCTCTGCCTGCTGTGGGCAGCGCTCCGGACCACCCTGTTCTCCGCCGCCTTCTCGCTCAGCGGCTCCCTGCCCCTGCTCCGGCCGCCCGCTCACCTGCACTTCTTCCCCCACTGGCTGCTCTACTGCTTCCCCTCCTGTCTCCAGTTCTCCACGCTCTGTCTGCTCAACCTGTACCTGGCGGAGGTAAGGCGGGAGAGAGGACGTGCGCGCCGGGAGGCCAGCGGGGAAGCGGGGCCGCCGGGGCCGGACGATCGGCGTCGACTGCAAGGAGTGGGGGGTGGCGGGAAGGCAGCCTGGGGAAACTGAGGCCCGGCCCGGAGTGAGCACCCAACTTGAGCGGTGATTGACGCGGGTTCGGAGAGGGCTGGGGGCCAGGGGACGGGCGAAGCTGTGTGTGTCTGTGTGTGTGCGTGTCGTCAACTTCAAAAAAAACAGCCTCTCGTTCCCGGGGTCCGGCCCTCCACTGTAGATCGAGGATGTCCCCCCTGCCCCAGAAAGTGGCCTCGGCAGAAGTGGCGGCCCCGTGGCTCGCCGAAGCCGGAGCGGGCTCGAGGGGAGGCTGGCTGCTGAGGCAGCCGCGGCTGTGCCGGAGCTGGCCGGCCGCCAGCCATTACGTCACCAGGCAGAGCTGTGCCTCTGCTATTGTTGCTGCGTTTCTTTTATTAGAAGCTTCTATTCCCTCCTGCGGCTCCTTTCCTGTGGCTCCAGAAGCCTCGCCGCGATGCCGTTCGATAGTTCCGTGACAGGCTTCATCATCAATAACCAGAGCCGGGGCTCGGTGCACGCGCCTCGGGGAAGCCCTTGGCTTTGGCTCCGGTCGCTTGATGCTTTGGTGACTGAGCCCACCTCTTGGAGCATAGTCTGTCTCCACCACCACCCCCTATATATATATACATTTTTTTAAAACTAATTAACCGAGGAAGTACCTGCTTACCCCGTGCCTATTGCAGAAACAAACCTCCAAACTGTGCCATAACTTGCTTAATAGCGGGAACCTAATCACACCCCCTTTCTCTCCGATGGGGAATCACTGGTTAGAAGGCATTGTTCTGCAGCGCTTAGGTATTTGACCCATTTCAAACAGGTTTGGGAGTGTAAGGTTGTCAATCATGTGTATCAGCTAGTGATATTTTGAGAAATGCCCTCCAAAAAAAAAGTCCCTCTTTCCTGGGGGAGGGGGAAAGAAGCTGGGGGGGGGGGGTAGCAGGTGACATCATATGTTTAATACTAATATAGAACGATATTGGGCGATGCAGCCAGCCCTGCCGAAGGCTTTTGGAGGTGGTGAGAATGAACATAGTTACAAACAAAAAGTAGAAAAAAACACTTGGAGCAGTATTTCTATTTCGTTTGTGAAATTCATATTTTCTCCCTTCATTGAAGATTGAATGCGTGATTTTAAAATTGGGCAGCCACAACCTCAGCTATTTCATACACTTCACTCAAGTTAATAAGAAACAAAACTGATGTAACTTTGATCCCTTCCGTACTCCACCCTTAGAAGCCCAGGCAATACAAGGACAACAACCTAAATAACAAATAAAAAGCGTAGATCCTCGTTAATAACGGTGCCTCAGTGACGTCACTTCTTGAGGTAGTTGTGATCTGATAGTTGTGTAAACTCTTGCACTTCTGGTCCTAGTATGATTAACTGCGTTCTTCCTGCCTTCTTTTCGTATAGTAGTGACTTCATCTGAAGTGTCACTGTAGCTTCAGATATAATTTACTTAAAAGTGACTAGCAGTGCATGTCACCTGACTAGCTTATCCCCTAGACTTTATAGCCTTACCAACTCATCTTAATGATTCACTGTGAAATATTTGGTGAATTGACCATACAATAGATACGTACTCTACTTCTTAAGGTACAGCACATGCCATAAAGGGAACAGCTAGATGAGATTTTCCATACTTGCCCACCCATGTTGCCACCTCCCCAGGCTGTCCTGCGTTCTCTGCCAGCCGTGGCTTCTCACCCAAAGGTAAACCCAAGAGTGCTTAAACACAGTCACCAGAGAAGAAAAAAAAAATTTTTTTTTAAGCTCAGAATTCTAAAACCGAAGTATCCTTCTACAACATAAAGTATGCAGAGTGTCTAGATTGGGTTTTCAGACTTTTGCTTGCCAATATTCCAAGTGCATAAGGAAATTTTTTTAACCAAAAAGTTAAATTGAATGGCACTGTTGATTGTGTGATTTGCAACTATTGACCATGAAAAGGCAAGCCGGAGAGAGGCTAGGCTAAAGTTCTCCTCCGCCATGTCTGCTAACGAGGGTGTAGGATTTTGTTTTTTTTTTTAATCAAACTTAAGAATTTAGGATATATAACTCTTGTTAAGTAAACATTTTTCAATTGTTTAGAAAAAAATTTATTTACAAAACCCTTGTTTGTCTTGATAATTGGCCTTTCCAATAAACAAATCGCCATCTTTCCTACCATGTAAATGCCAATGCCATTTTCTTTTGACTTGTTTAAATTATTTACATCTCTTTCTCACTACTTAAAAGCATTCTAATTATAAGGACTCAGTTATAAAGAGCAATGGATTGGTATGTAAAGCCACTGAAACAAATGCTGCTTTACACACACATTTTGGTGTATCTTCGGAAGCTTACAAAAAGTTACGAATTGTTTCTAGCGCCCAGCACCTGGCTCAGTAGCTCATCCTCCCCTTGCACACACAAGAATTACATGTGGTTGCTGGCTCCTGTCCTGGCTGCTGTTCCCCTTCCCATCCAGTCCCCGCTTATGGCCTGGAGAGTAACAGAAGATGGCCCAATCCCTTGGGACCCTGGACCTGTGTGGGAGACCCGAAGGAAGCTCCTGGCTTCTGATCGCCTCAGCTCGGGCAGTGGTGGCCATATGGGGAGTGAACCAGTGGATGGAAGGTCTTTCAATATCTCCTTCTCTATGTAACTCTGCCTTTCAAAAAAAAAAAAAAGAGCTTCTAAAGGATGGAGAAGGAAAAGGATTAAAGATTAAAAAGAAACATTAGTTACTGTTTATTTTTATGACTACGTTTATATGGGATTAAGAGGATATAGCCCTTTCTGAAAGTTTGGTTTCCTTTTTTAAAAAAAATTTTATTTGAAAGAGTTGCAAAGAGAAAAGGAAAAAGAGCTACATTTTGCATCTGCTGGTTCACTCCACACATAGCTGCAACATCCAGGTTTGGGCCCAGGTCTGGGCCATGCTGAGGCCAGGAGCTTCTTCAATGACTCCTATATGTATGGTAGGGGCCAAGTACTTGGGCCATTTTCTGCTTCTTTTCTAGGCCATTAGCAGGGAGCTGAATCCAATGTGAAGTAGCAGAAACAGAAATTGGGGCCTGTGTGGAATGTTGTCATGGCAGGTTAACCCACAGGCCTCAACAAGGACCTGCAATGGGAATTTTCAGGTTGTTACAGTTAATCTCCTGGAAGCAGGTATAGTCAAATAAAAAGTTAATTTTGGTTACAACTGATAAAATATTAACAATGGAGCTAATATTCAGAGTTTGGCTTAATAAATATTTTATTATTTGAGAAACAAAGAATTCACCCAATGACTCACTATCTAAAATGCCTAAAACGGCCCCTGATTTGGGCAGGAGTCCAAGAACCACGGGCAGTTCAACCATTGGTGTGACAGCAACACGGTTACTCAAGCCATCATTCCAGGGTCTGCATTAGCAGGAAGCTGGAGTCAGGAGCAAAAGTGGCTGGTAAACCCCACTACTCCACTGTGGGAGACAGGCAGATTAACAGTGTCTTTACTCCTGAAGCAAGTGCCCATCCTAACAAACGTTCTGATATAGCAAACCAACCATCATCATTAGGGCTTTATTAACTTGTTTTCAACAAATTGTGCTAAATTGGAAAGCTTGTAGCACAAGTAAATCCCATACCCTGAGTCAGTTACAAGAGGTAGTGAGATACTTCCAGCTTTGACTGTAACTATGGTTATAAATGCTTTGTCTGAATCTACCAAGCTACATTTTACAGACTAACTCGGTCTTCTGTTTCCCGAGGCTGTCTGTGAGTCAAGCCTTTCAGATACATTGCTATGGCGAAAGAAACAATCATGCTGCTTACAATTTTATGGACTTAATATTTTCGAAGCACTGTGTAACATGGCTCTTCATAATTTCAATGAAATTAGTACTTTTTAAATGTGATTTGCTTAGTGCTATATGGCTGTTATGGCCATATCTGACTATTACGTAGACTCTATGAGACTAGTATAGGCCAGGTGTTATTAATTCTCCTAAAATGATGTCTTCCTGCAACATAACATTTTTGGATGATCATCACTAATTAGTGTATTATTCGATGTTTATCCACCTTTGCTTTTTCACACTGTTCCATATCTTCTCTGCTGCCTGGCAAATGCATTTTTCCCTCAGTAGACGACCCTCACTTCTCATTTAGAGTAGACACCAGAACCAATTTGCTGGCTAAAGACTGAAATTCTTTTTTTTTTTTTTAAGATTTATTTATTTATTGGAAAGTCAGATATACAGAGAGGAGGAGAGACAGAGAGGAAGATCTTCCGTCCAATGATTCACTCCCCAAGTGAGCACAACGGCCGTTGCTATGCCGATCCGAAGCCAGGATCCAGGAACTTCTTCCGGGTATCCCACACGGGTGCAGGGTCCCAAGGTTTTGGGCCGTCCTCGACTGCTTTCCCAGGCCACAAGCAGGGAGCTGGATGGGAAGTGGAGCTGCCGGGATTATACCTGGTACCCATATGGGATCCCGGCGGGTTCAAGGCGAGGACTTCAGCCGCTAGGCTACGCCGCCAGGCCCCAAGACAGAAATTCTTAATATTGCTGCAGAGATTATTTAATCTTTTCAGTGTTTGAACTGATAAGAAAATTCCTCTAAGCACAAAAGCACTCATAAAAAAAATGAATGCAGAATATGGAAATTCCACAAAGATGTTGATCTTGAGAGTGAGGGTGACTGGTCAGCAGCTTCCTGCTAGCCCACATCCCAGGCTGTAATTTACATGCTTGATGTATAGGATGCATAAGTCTGATTAGAGACTTCATGCCTCCAGAACAAAGTCAGAATCCTGACAGCATGCATCTTCAGTAGACAAACTAAGGAAAAAAGCAGGTCGCTAGAAGTTGATCATGGAATTTGAGCCTGTCTCTGCCTTGACCAGGTGAAAGGGCATAAAATGGAGAAAGGAAAGTCTTTG